TGTCTAACATAAAATTAAAGGGCCGGTGGGAGAGTGGGGGAAAATAAGAGGATTTTTTAAAAATATGAATGATTTAATACTGCGCCTACAAATCATCAAAGTAGGATACAGTTTGTGGCAGTGTATTTACATGTCAATTTAGCACCACATCCAATATTTCAATTATTGAACATAAGATGCTTTAGCTTTACAAAACATTTGTAGTAGTGATATTCAAACCTTCATTAAGAGCTGTAGTATATTGTAATTACAGTCGCATATCAATTTTCTATATTTATAATACACGTCAAGTAATGTTCAATTTTCTGTCGTTTTATCAGTGACACATTTTTATACCCGTTAATATGCATTACCTTCTCAACCTTTTATCTTGGTTTTAAAGGCCCTTATTGAAATCACCCATAAAATGCATGTTGTAATGCGTGTTGAAATTGTATTATATTATACAACTCTACTTTTCAAAAAAATATTCCTAAATCTGCAATTATATCGATCTGATACAGTAAGTTGCCTTGACTGGAGGCAACCGTGATAAAGGTCACCATCAAGTAAAATTCGCACATTTCCAAAACTGCTTTGATCACATGTTTTTTTTTTATCTGACAAAGACGTCCATGCACATAATCTAGGACCTGATGATCAATTACTGATATTTCACCAATAATCATAAATCTGTTTATTCCTTAATGTATTCAATTTTGTACCACCACGAGGTTGGTATGGTAGTCTAGCATCAGTATGGATTGCCAATGAGCTGTGAGTAGTACTTCCATTTTATTAATACAGAAATATTGACAGGATTTGGAACCATTTTTGCAAAAAGCTAATATTGTACAGACTTTATCAAACGACTTATACCAGATCCAGCTCCACCAGTAACAAACACATAAAATGGTTTAGGATTGTTGACCATTGATCTTTTGTAAGCACCGATCATGGATCTTTTTGAACAGTGTCTTCTCCTGTACATCCAACAACCTTAATAAGCCTAAAGCATCTTTCTTTGATAGTGTAACTGAATGTGCAACTGGAATATCATATTTATTACCTTCATCGTGTGATACTGTTTCATACTCTGTTTGGCATTCAACCCGTTTTTGCTTCGATTTAGGCCGGGCGGCAAAGAGGGGAAACTGTAACAGGGGCAAGGGTTGATTTGGGGCCCCAGGTACGAGCGCGAAGCTGAGGGGGCCCTGTCAATCTAGAGGGGCCCATTATTAGGGGACCAATGCCATTAATGAGGGTCAATGATAGTAATTATTTTTGAAAAAAAATATGAAAAAATGCTACCTGCAATTTATGGTCCCCCTGGTAAGCTGGCCCTGGGAATCATCCCCCTCACCCCCACGCCCGTCGCTTCTCTCTGTGGCCCTGGATATAGGACAAATTAAAGCCCATGCATCTTCTCGTAAAACCATTGTAGAGATGATCAAGACAAAACACCCATTGCGCACACCACTTCGCATGTACAACCAATGTCGGGTAGCTCCATACAGGACTGGCTCAAGGTTGATTAACTCTACGAAATAAATGAAATGAAATGAAAGAGGAGCTGTTTTGATCTCAAATTACTCAGAAGACCTATATTTACATTCACTCTAATAGTAGCCCTGCAATTACATTGCAACTGATTTGTATTCAGTTGGGTCTCAAGATCTATCAAAAAAGAGATTCAGCCAATACGGCCTAAGGAAAGCCGCCACTGTTTTGCATTTATAAAAATGGTCGCCATAAAAACCTTTTCTATTTTTTAACTTCTAAGTCATGTAAGAAGTTGATTCTAGTGGCAAAATATATGTTATTAGGGTAGAGGAACCTAAATATTAAGTTCAAGATATTTATTTAATATTTAGTTGATTAAAATGATTTTTAGGTACATTGCACTTACAAGAAATATCAAAATAAAATAATAGATTTATTCATAAATGAATATCTTATAATTTTAGATTCTTGAAGTTCATCAAAGAAAATAATATGGCTAATACAAGCAATAAAGAAGGAGTTTTCCGTGCCTTGTGTACACGCCAAAAGGCCAAAGAAGTTCAAGGGTTAGAAACAATACCTTAAGGCGAAAATACTGCCGCTAAGAGGAAATTATATATATATATATAATATATATGTATATACATTTAACACTTACTGTATATATATATATGTATATATATATGTATTTAACACTTACTGTATATGACGCAAATTTTCGGTCAGTCTGAACCCTCTTCAGGCGTAGTCCGATCGTCGTCTGAACCAATCGGTTCGTCTCCGTTTCCGCATAACATTACATAACAAATACGGAGTAGTGGTTATTCATGAGTATGGTAAATAACTCATGACATCATACCACTGTTCCTTTATATTATAAGCTATGATAGAATTCGATAAAATGTGTAGACGAAAAACGACAACATATAAAGAAAATTCCCACAATAATAATACATAACCATGGCTATGTATTATTATTGTGGGCATTTTCTTGACTCCATTTCGTGTTAAATCTTGTACATAAATAATTCGTAAATATGTATGAGATAAATATTGTAAATATATATTAATGAGAATTAAAAGCCGTGATAATAATAATAATAATATTTGTTATCTCTTTATTATGTAAGATCTTGGTTTTAATTAATTTCACAAAATTCCATAATATTAATAATAATTATAAAACTTATTTACAATGGATATTTATTCGCTGACACGTTCTTTTATGAGCATGAACCAAACGATATGGTAAACACAACTATAAACTACTGCGGTACTTTGAATTTGAATACAAAAATATAAATTGATATAGCAGATTAATAGAAAAAGGTAAAGCATAATTATTTATGAGTACTTATTAATCATGTATATGAATAGATATTGAATTAGGCGCGATATACAAGTTATTCCCAACGACAGAAACTATGTAATACAAACGCGTCTAGGAAAGCGATCATCTAATTATCGTGCCTCATGAATATTAATAAGCTATGCCAATATTTCGGAGACGCGTCTGAACGGGGTTGTGCCCAAAATTCCATAATAGTAATAATAATTATGAAGCTTATTTACAATGAATGTTTATTCACTGACATGTTCTTTTATGAGGATGAACCAAACGATATGGTAAACACTACAGCGGTACTTTGAATTTGAATACAAAAATATAAATTGATATTTACTGGTTACCAGTAAAGCAAAGAATAATATTTAAAATACTGCTTGTCACTTACAAAAGTAAACTATATAATTCACCCACGTACATCCGAGAACTCAATGAAGAGCATCGTTCACATCGCTCACTATGATCTGCATCTAAAAACCTCCTGCATGTTCCTAAAACATCTACAATCACTTATGGCAGCAGTGCCTTTTCCTCATCATCTCCCCTTAATTGGAACAACATACCTTTATTTATAAAAGAATCAAAATCAGTGGGCACATTTAAGTCAAAACTTAAAACCCATTTATTTCAACAATTAACTGTTTAATAATTTATATCGTGTTCTTTCACAACGGAGTGGCCTGCTTTGTCTCTAGGGCCGCTATCTTGGTCGCAGACTCTGAGCACCCGGTCGCCTGTGGCAGGGCAAATATGAAACCTGCTCCTTTGTTCGCGCCACCTAGGTAGGGGACCGGGACTGCGCTTCAGAGACCTAGCGTTGTTTTGCCACCACACCCTATAATATTGTAAATTCAACATCTTTTCTATAATTTCTATAATTTTATGTAAAGCGCATAAAGGCACTGTGCAATATGCGCTATATAAATGTAACTTATTATTATTATTATAGCAAGTTAATAGAAAAAGGTATGGCATAATTATTTATGAGTACTTATTAATCATGTATATGAATAGATATTGATTGTTTGGGCGCTGAGTAGCTGCGGCCGCTTTTCCTAATTAAGACGAATAATCTATCTCAACTGATCGTGAGATTGGTGATATCTTTCTTCTTAATGTTTGATAACTGATTAGTAGTAGTTTCTGGAAGAGAATTGTCTTCTATAACGACAAGACAAACCTTATCTTTATAAATGTTCGCCTGAGTATTAGCTAGGCCACGACGTTTCACCTTGCATGGTAGTTGTTATCGTATTGTTAGGGATATTGTTAATTCGCTAGTAGCTTGTATTAGTTAAGTCGATGCGATCCGCCTCTGCAGGAATGTTATATGTTCTGCATTTGACGTTATATTATAATACTAGGACAGTAATTAGATAGATTGAAATTTTGGGTGACCTTCTAATTATTAATTTATTAAGATATTTCAGGAATAATATTATAGAATAGAACTTTCACTGCTAGGAAGCTATTTATATGCATGCCATTAGGGCATTGTTAGCGCCTGCTTGGTCAAGCGGTCCACCTGTGTAGGACTTTGTTATTGTGTTGATCGTTGATGTTTGTGAAGACATTCTCTTCGACTCATCATAGTACATATGGACTATATTTTTGGGTGACCGTATACTTTATGTGACCATCTGTTCAAAAAACACTGAAAATCATACAAATTTATCGTAAATGTCTAAACCCAACTTTGTTTACACTAAGGCTATGCTACTTAATATTAGAAATAGCACGATAGGCAGATTTAAATCAGACATAACTTTCTTTTCCAAGCTCAAGAATCTGGGAATTTTTCGCTTTCGAGGACGAAGAGGGGGGTCGCACGTTCAGGCCAGCGAATAGGGTGAGGGTAAAGTCAAACATTACTACCCCATTTTACCATCTTACTCACCCAACCAATGGTGTAGAAAGGTTTAGTCAGCCACCACACCAGAAGGTTTTCAAATGGACCAAATACTTCAACTGCAATTCTTATTTCAACTCCAATTGTAATAATTTCGATAATTTTATTAAACCTAGTTTTGATCACGCGCCGCTAGTTGGATCTAACTCAAATTTCAATGACGCTGAAAAGAGGCATAAGCCTATTAAGGTTAAGAAATTTCATTCTTGGAAAATTGGACAAATTAACATTCAATCTTGCTCAAATGATTTTAGGTTAGATGAAATGCTTAAGGACTGCAAAGCCTCTAACCTTGACATCATCTTTATTCAGGAAATGAGGCGGTTAGGAGAGGGATCAGTCAGTCATGAGGGCTACAACGTGTACTGGAGCGACATGAAAGTAAAACATCTGTATGGTGTTGGGATTGCCTTCATCAGCATCAATGGAATAATGAATATCTCACCACGTCTGATAGCAATAGATTTAATGATGAAAGGTCTAAAACTTCGTATTGTTTCAGCCTATGCGCCTACCGAAGCTAAATCATTAGCAAACAAGAAGTCATTTTATAGAGAACTGAACAAAATATGTCATGTAGGAATGGACAAAAACAGAAAGTTACTCATTCAATGTGACTTTAACGCCATTACATCAATCTGCAATAAACACTCAAGTTTTGATGGACATAACATGCATCATGACGATACATTTAATGAAAATGGCAGACTTCTGATAGATTTCTGCAATAGAAACGATCTTTCGATTCTTAATACTTGGTTTTCCCATCCGCTGATTCACAGATTAACATGGTATAGTCCAGATGGAGTAACTAGAAAAGTGTATGATCTCAGTTTATCGGGATCATGGATTAGATGCTTTGTTAAGGATGTCAGAACAAGGAACTCATATTTCCACTCTGACCATAGACTCCTTGTAACAAAGCTCAGGACACCTGCCAACAAGTCTGCAAGATTTCTTAAGAAATACAGGAAAATCCGTCCGCCAGACTTAAATGCTCTATCCAACCTGACTGTGAAAGAACAAATAATTAGGAAAATAAAGGACACATTAACAACGTCAGTCTCTCCAACCCAAGTTGACGAAAAGCATAATTTTCTCATGACGACACTAGAATATGCCAAAAGATCTCTCCCGAAGGTCACAAATAAGAAACACCCGGTTCCCGAGGATTATTATGATGATCATTTCAAATTCCTAATAACTAAACGTAAAAACTTGCGCAGGCAACCAAGGGCAGAACAGTCGGTAGAGAAGATGAAGAAACTAAACAAGGAAATAAAGCGTGCTGCAAGTAAAGTAAAAAGTAGAATGCTGCAAGACAAATCAAACGAAATAAATCAGGCCAAACAAAACAGAAAAGTTGCCGATATGTGGAGAAGCGCCAAAAGTCACTCAAAAATCATCAGTAGTAACCCAAAGGCCATAACTTGCCCTAACCTAGCACCACACTTCAAAGCCCTGTCACTCCAATCTTACTTTACCAGAGATTTCTAACCCACCACCGTGTATCAATAAACTCCATAGTTGCGTGCCAGTAATGAATAATAATCCCCCTGCACTTGATGAAATTCTCCTGGCCATCAAAGACTTGAAGAACGGTAAAACATCATTAGATATCGAAGCTGATCTGCTGAAAACTGCCGCAGAAATCCCGGAATTTCAGGATGAGCTGAAAAAGTACTTTAAAGAAATTTCTGATAAACGAAAAACACCCTCTCAGTGGAGTCTTAGTCGAATAATATCTATATGGAAAAGAAAAGGCAGTGCACTAGATCCAAAACAATACAGAGCTATATCAATCGGGCCCATCCTCACTAAGGTAGGTATGAATATAGCACTTCGTAGATTAACTCCATTTTATGAGCAACAACTTTCCAGCACCCAGTTTGGCTTTAGAGCAGGAAACGGCTGTAACCATGGCATATTCGTGATAAAGCAACTGCAAGAAGTGGCCTATCGATCTAAACGCAAGTTGTATACTTGCTACATAGATTTAGCTGCTGCATTTGATCACGTAAATAGATCATTTTTATTCGAAAGTATTTATAAGCGCCTTCCATCCTCATATGACACCACGAATATCGATATTATTAGGAGCCTTTATGAAGATACAAAATCTTTCGTTTCAGGCGAAGACTCTCTCAGGATCAATTCCCTATCATAAGTGGAGTGAGACAAGGCGGAAACGAAGGTCCAAATTTATTCAATCTTTTTGAAGATTATGCAATAAGGATTTGGAAGCATAGATGCTCAACAACGGAAGCAGAGAAA